CCGATACAGCTGTATAATTGAAGGACATCAAATCACTTGCCACTATAAAGCCTGCCACCAGATGCAGCTTAACTGTCATTGCCATTCACTGATAAGGTTTTGCTATGAGTCTGCAAGCACTTGGGTTTATGTGCAGTTAATCCCTCTGCTAAGGATAGTCTGTATTTGCAGCCGCTCCCCAGCACTTGCATCACTACATCAATTCTACCCCAGATCATCAGGCATTAGATTCTCACAAGGAGAATCCAGCTTAGATCCCTCAAATGTGCAGTTTACAGTAGGGTTCATTCTCCTACAAGAATCTGATGGCACTGCTGATCTGACATGAGGCTGAGCTCAGGGTGGTGATACCAGGATGGGGAGCAGATATAAATACAGATGAAGCTTCACTCACTTACCCACTGCTCACCTCCTGCTGTGAGGCCACGGATGTGTATCAGCCTGGAGGTTGAGGACTCCAAGATCAGAGTAATGGTTGCTGAAGGTTGGGGTGGTTGTGGCAATTTCTTAAAATGAAACGTTGAAGTTTGCCACATTGATCGACCCTTCCTTTCATAAAAGATTTCTCTGTAGCATGTGAGACCGTTTGATAGCATTTTACCCACAGTAGAACTTCTTTCAAAGTTGGAGTTAATTTTCTCAAACCCTACCACTGCTTTATCAACCAAGTTTATATAATATTCCAAGTCCTTTTGTTGTCATTTCCCCAAAGTCCATAGCATCTTCACCAGGAGTAGATTCCATAGATTCCATCTCAAGAAACTATTTTCTTTGCTCATCTGTAGGAGACAAGGCCTCCATTTGTTCAAGTTGTATCATGAAATTGCTGCAATTCAGACCAATCTTCAGAATCCACTTTTAATTCTAGTTCTCTTGCTATTTCCACAACATCTGCAGTTCCTTCCTCCACTGAAGTCTTGAAGCCCACAAAGTCATAGATAATGATTCCTTTGATGGATCCCAGCAAAGTAAATTGAAAACCTTCTAGAAATAATTCATTCTAGATGCCATTAAGAATACTCATGATTCATGGGGAGAGGTCAAAATATCCACATCAGGAGAATTTGAAAGAAGTTTGTTTCAACCCTCACGGATGACTTACAAAATGTATTTCTTAAATAATAAGACTTTAAAAAATATTATCATTATTATTATTATTTGAGACAGAGTCTTACTCTGTCACCCTGGGTAGAGTGCCCATGGCATCATAGCTCATAGCAACCTAAATTCCTGGGCTTAAGCAATCCTCTTGCCTCAGCCTCCTGAGTAGCTAGGACTATAGGCATGTGCCACCACATTCAGCTAATTTTTCTATTTTTAGTAGAGACAAGGTCTTGCTCTTGCTCAGACTGATCTCAAACTCCTGAGCTCAAGTGATCCACATGTGTTGGCCTCTCAGAGTGCTAGGATTATAGGCATAATCTACCATGCCTGGTCAAATAAGACTTGAAAGTCAAAGTTACTCCTTGATCCAAGGGCTGCAGAGTGGATCTTGTGTTAGCAGGTGTACAAATAACATTTGTTTCTTTGTACATCTCCACCAGAGCTCTTGGGTAGAGGCATTATCAATGAGCAGTAATCTTTCAAAAGGAATCTTTTTGTTCCGAGCAGTAGATCTCACCAGTGGGCTTCAAATATTCAATAAACTGTGCTGTAAACAGATCAGTTGTCATCCAAACTTTGATCTTCCATTCATACAGAATGGGCAGAGTAGATCTAGCATGATTCTTAAGGGACCTAGAATTTTTGAAATTGAAAATGAGCCTTGGCTTCAACTGAAAGTCCCCAGACGCATTAGGCCCTAACAGAGAGAGTCAGCCTGTCCTTTGAAGCTTTGATCCTGGCGTTGACTTCTCCATTCTACCTATGAAAGTCTTAGATGGCATCATCTTCCAATAAAAGGCTATTTGTTTCATCTGCATGGAAAAATATTTGGTTTGTGTACCGTACACTTTCATCAATGTTCTTGGCTAGATCTTCTGGATAACTTGCTGCAGCATCTCCGTCAGCATCTGCTGCTTCACCTTGCATTTTCAAGGTGAAACTTCATTCTTCAACCTCATGAACCAACCAAATATTCCTTTTGCAGCTTCCTTACCTCTCTCAGCCTTCATAGAATTGAAGAGAGTTAAGGCCTGGCTTGCTCTACATTCAATTTTGGCTTAAGGGAATGTTGTGGCTAGTTTGATATTCTATCCACACTATGAAACTTTCTCCATATCAGCAATAAGGTTGCTTTGCTTTACATTGACAGCTCAGCTAATTATTTAATGCAAAAACATAGCTTTTTACCTATATCTGTTTTTGGTATGATTTCCCCCTAAGCTTAACAATCTCTAGTTTTTGATATAAAGTGAGAAATATTTAATTCTTCCTTTCACTTGAACATGTATAGACCATTGTAGGGTTATTAATTGGCCTAATTTCAATATTGTTTTGTCTCAGGGAATATAGAGGCCTGAGGAGAGGGAGAGAGATAGGGTAATGGCCAGCAGGGGGTGGCAGTCAGAACTTACACAACATTTATTAAGTTCTCTGTGTTAAGCTGGGCACAGTGGCCCATGCCTGTAATCCTAGCACTCTGGGAAGCTGAAGCAGGAGGATCTGAGCTCAGGAGTTTGAGACCAATCTGAGCAAGAGCGAGACCCTGTCTCTACTAAAAACAGAAAAATTCAGGGGTTCACTAGTTAAGAAAAAATAAATAAACAATAAAAATAGAAAAATTAGTACCAGTACTTAGGAGGCTAAGGCAGGAGGATTGCTTGAGCTCAGGAGTTTGAGGTTGCTGTAGGCAACAGAGTGAGACTCTGCCTCATAATAATAATAATAATATTAATAATAGTAAGTTTGCTATGTTACATGAACACAGTTTGTCGTGCCCCAAAACAATGAAAATAGTAGTATCAAAGAACACTAAAAACAGACCATCATAACAGACACAGTTATAATGAAAAAGTTTGAAGCTGGGCATAGTGGCTGATACCTGTAATCCTAGCACTCTGGGAGGCCAAGATGGGTGGATTGCCTGAACTCAGGAGTTCAAGACCAGCCTGAGCCAGAGCAGCCTGAGCCAGACCCCTGTCTCTAAAACTAGCTGGGCACTGGGGCAGGCACCTGTAGTCCCAGCTACTCAGGCAAGAGGATCGATTGAGCCCAAGAGTTTGAGGTTGCTGTGAGCTGTGATGTCATAGCACTCTACCCAGGGCCACAGCTGAAGACTGTCTCAAAAAAAAAAAAAAAAGAAAGAAAGAAAGAAAGTTTGAAATACTGTGAGAATTACCAAAGTGTGACACAGGACATGAAGTGAGCACATACTGTAGAAAAATGGCACCAATAGACTTGCTTGATGCAGGGTTGCCACAAACCTTCAATTTGTAAAAAACAGTATCTGTAAAGTACAATCAGGTGACATGTAATAAAATGAAGTATGTCCACATTTAAACATATTGTATGCAAATGTAAAAAGAAGGTAAATTAATTCTAATAGTTAAGGTACTGTATAATCATTAAGAAACACAAGGATGACTTCATATAAAGGCTGCTGCTACTTCACATCTATTTCATACCCCACCAAAAAAAATATCCATTGATATGGATCATTTTCCTAACAATGTTTAATCAAGTAGTGATTAAGGTACTGCTTTGCTTAAGACTTAAAAATCAATGTACTTAACTCAAATTCATTATGAAAACAAAACTGAAGGGAAAAAAATCTTCACATAGTTTTTTTTCCCTTCAATAAATACTTTCTAAAATTCTTCAAGAAAGTCTTGACAAAATAGTCACCAAATGTTTGGTCATATTCTACCATAGGAGTACTTAATATTATAATACCTGTTTTTCAATTCAGCAGAAGTACTTAATATTATAATACCTTGTTTTTCAATTCAAAGTCACAGATTTTTGTTTTTTTAAAATCTAGTTGTGTCTTAACAATTGATGGCATGCCATAGTAAAATTGGCAGCACTTTTTCTTTATGATATATAAAATAGTGTGTCTTAGATTTGATGAAATATGATCTTAAGTATAGAATAAAAGAATGTAAAGACAAAGCAAATTAAAACTAAAAATATGCATATATCCTTCCTGTTATTTCATATTAATTAAGAACAAGTGTTTTTCTCTTTTGGTAAATAAGACGAATTTAGGATGTTAATTAACCTCTTCTGGGGGTTATGAATCTCTATGACATATTTCATGAAACTTATGATCTATCTTCTTAGGAAAAACTATATAGGAACACACATATGAGTATACAGATTTATATATAAATTAGGGATTCACAAGCCCCTAGAGGACATCAAACATCTATGGATCCTTAGTTAAGAATGGTTAATTTACATAATTATACAACAAGGTTCTAATGAATCTTTGTAAAAGAGTTAATAAAATATAAATATAATTTAAAGCAAGTTTAAGCACTAAACACATACACACAGAACACTAGTATTAATACATTTCTTTAAGTTCCAGGGTTGGTACCAAAGTTTAATTTGAAGAAAAGGTATCTCTAATCTAAATTAATGTCTCATCTAATTCAACAAAGACCTTTGGGAGAATAATTCTCCTTACCTTTACCTTAGGAGAGGCCTTTTGTGTTTTTATTAGCAAAAGCATAATAGGTGCCATTCATTTCAAATAATTTAAATTCTATAGTCATAGTATTAAAACTGGCAATTCAGAGAATGTAGTACATGTTATTTTAAAAAGACGACAAATCAAAATTATTTAATATATTGTATTGAGTACTTTCCCCCCTAGAATTCTTTAAGCAATGGAAAGTTCAAGTATGAAAACAATCATGAATAATACAGAACTTAATATTAGATGATGATACTACCTACAAATAATTAGCAAGTATTTAAATCCAAATATGCCTCCCTGAGATTTACTATTCTTTAACATAATATTTTAAAAATATATGTAACACTTTAAGAGACTAAAATATTTAAGTTTAGATAAAATTTTTTGTAGTAATATTAATAATTTAATACATTACCATATTTCAATGTGAGAGATGTTTCAAATAGTAAGGCTGCAATTAGTACATCTTCTTTAAGCACTTTGTTCCTTAAGTTCAGTCGCGCATGGGCTTCAGATAGAGAAACTCTTTAAAAAATTGATGTCAATTAAAATATGTTGATATTACAATGATAAGATATATTTTGGCAGGAACAAACCAAGATATATGTGAACACTAGCTGCACCTACATGATCAGCATATTCTTTCTTTTATTATTATTATTTTTTTTTTTTTTTTTTTTTTGCAGTTTTTGGCCGGGGCTGGGTTTGAACTCACCACCTCTGGCATATGGGGCCGGTGCCCTACTCCTTTGAGCACAGGTGCTGCCCCATATTCTTTTTTAAAAACAATTTTATTTATTTTCAAAGCATTTTTTTCCTATAAACTTAAACAGACTATTGCAGAACAAGCCAGTATTCTTGCTTATTAACAAAGAGTTGGTTTCTGTCAAGGCTTCCATGTATCATTTCACACTCCTCTCCCAGGTTCTGTTTAGATAAATACACAGTTCAGAAAATTAATCTAACTAAATATCTCTCATAGACAAATCTTAAACCTTTTCTTCTAGTTCCTCATTTGTCTGAAGTCTTCATAGAATCTTACAATTTCAGTGTAAGAAAGAATCTTGGAGTTCAAATTTCAAACTCTCATTAGATAGCTGAATTTCTTTTATAACATCCCAGGCTACTCACTACGAAGTCTCTTTTGAACCTTTTCTAGCATTCACTGCTTCATAGGGCAATTCATTCTTTATTTTTTAACCAGGCTCGATTATACTTTAGTTCTCTCTGAAGATATCAATTAGGCAGGTGTAATATACTTGAACAACTGCTGGACTTAGCAATCAAAAAACCTAGAATAAGTCTCTAGAATTTACTAGCTATGTGATTTTGTTTAAATCATTTAATTTATGAGAGTTTTTGAAATTCAGCTATAAAAAGGGGATAAATAAAGGCATTTGAAAGTTCTGTAACTAACTATAACCAAGATTATATAAGTCTAAATTAAAATTAATTTCACAGCAATTTCCATTTGCTGGTTTCTTGTTCTATTTTCTGAGACTTCTTAAATGTGGCAGCTCTTCAAACATTCAAAGATAACTTTTATAGTTGCCCCGTGTTTTCTTTCCATCAAGGTAAATATTTGTAGTTCCTTTAGTATATTATGAGTCATAATTTTTAACTTCTCATTATCTTAACTATCTCATTTATCTCTCTTTATGGCTAGATTTGGCAAATATTCCTTTTCAGTATTAGTAACACAGGTGTGATTTAACCACCAGAGTAGAGATGAGGCAGAACTAGAATTTTGTTGCTATATATATACAAAATGTAGGGTTGTATATATTGTAATATATGTATTCTACTAATACAATCCTAAATTTCAGTGTTATTAACAGCCACATTACATCACTTACTCCTAAGAACCATGAAAAAATGAATTCTCAAGTCTTTTTCATAGCTTTTCATATTAAGCCACATCACCCATTCCCATTAATTCACAGTTCTACATGTACTAGGGAGTTTGGGGATCTAATAGAGGACATTACATTTATCCTATTAAGTTTCTTCTTTTTAGGTTAAGATCATAATTCAAGGCTATGAAGTTCTCCTCAATGTTGCTCATTTTCTAATACAAATTTGATTATCATTTCCCTGATATCCTCATCCAAGCTCCTTTTTTTTTTTTTTTTTTT